TCCTCCAAAAATAATAATAATAAAAAAATGGTGTAATTCAATAGAAATCATTCTGCAAGGAAGGTGGATTTTTAAACAATATTTTCCAGGATCTGTGAAAAGTGTACAAGAGAAAAGGAGAGTGAAAACAATAAAATGTTCAAATCCATTTATGGTCAAGCTGAAGTTTTCGCATTTGGAGCTGGTTTGAGAGAATCATATTAATGCTTCAGGATATGACCTGTTGCATTTTTCTCATCTTCAAAAGATGAGATTTCTCATCGTTAGAAAAAAATTTACATAGTTAAGTCTCTCATGGAATTGTCTTTAAGCTTTGAACTGCCTTGTATAAGCACGCGTCAACAGAGATCAGCCCAGATGTTTTCCTCCTCTTTCTTTATAGTTGCTGTATATGTGGGCTTGATTTTCATTTATAAATCCTAGAATAACACTTGCAGCAACAGAAAGAGCCAATTATCAAGATAAATTTCTGAATGTACAAAGCATCCGGTAGGAGACAGACACTCCCTTTCATCACTGTTTCTGTCGTCCAAGATACTGAGAATTACTTTTTCCACTTTCCAGGAACTCTTTCAAGTCATCGTTACAGCCAAGTAGTTCAGCTAGAAAGTTATTTGCATTCTACTTTCCTCGACGTGCGAGAGGAAGGAGATACTCAAAACGTGACAAAGTCAAAGTGGGCTATCTCCTCCCAGAATATTTTTATATTCCTATCCAAGATTAGAATTCAGACATCTGCTGTAGATAGAACAAAAGCAATTGCTATTTAATTTTTTTTTCATTTCTTCACCTCTCTCTGCCCACTCTTCAAGAATAAAGGCAAGCTACAGCACATGTGCCACAAGAAAAATAAGTGGGGGGGAAGTAACAGATAGGAAAAGCTGCAATACAAGTTATAAACAGAGCCCAGTCAGTGACATTTTCAAATCCTGTCCTCCTTTGAGGACAGATACCTTGCTTAGAAGAGCATCCAAAGCTTAGAGCTATTGCCTTACAGGAGAAAGGCTGCAGGCACACTTTTTTTTTTTTTTTTTTTTTTAATTTCATGTAAATGCAATTAAAGACTTCCTGGTGCCATACAACTGACATCTAAAGTTTGCCCGATTTTGTTATTCTTGTGTTTTCAAAGTTATTTCATAAATTTATGCTATACAAATAGCATTATCTGCAGTACATGAAGTATGCATAAAATATGCTTATGTACTCTACAAATTTCACCTTTAAAAATGCCTTTCATCTGACAGGGAAATTCAGAAGCAGCAGCACCACTTCCAACCAGCAATGCACTCAAGCACCTGTAGCTTTAATTCATCTTCCCATGCTGTAGGGCAACTACAACCCAACCTTCCATCCTGAAAAATGCAAAGTTGTTAGGCAGTTTTTGTGCCAGGGAACATTTTTGTTTTTTAAAACTATGCTTTTAGAGTTGCACTAGATTCTTTTGTTCCCAAAGTCCTGATGCACTGAAGTCAGGACATGTGCTGTGCAGGCTGCAAATGAAGCTCACAGTGAAGGCTCCTTAACAGAGGTAGGAAAAAAAGAAAAAGAAATCACCAAAAAAAATCACTATGTTGGCAAGTAAGGTTTCTCATCTCTGTTATCTAGAAATTAGGATAAATAACCTCGGCAGATTTTGGTGTCAGAGAAGGCATGGGAAGCATATCAGGAAGCATGACATGGATCTCCATGGCATGGACTCGCTTTCTGCCTCCCACAAAACAGAAAACAGAGGCCTGCTGGATCTGCACAGCCAGGATGAGGAAGCAGCAGCATTTGAATCATTCACTATCAACTGGTTTCACAGGGTTGATCTTTTCCTTACTGGGCTCTTAGCAATTCAGATATGCACTAAGGGCAAGGTTTAGCTTGTAAATGCAGTGAATGCTTTTATCAGCTTACCTACTTTTGCTGAGCTCTTATTTTTCTTCTGCTACAGGAATTATTTTAAGTGCACATATAAAATAAAACACAGTCAAGCAAGAACATGTTGTATTATGGCAGAGTTTTATTAACCATTTCCATTATATTAATATTGTTCTATTAAAATGTCCAGCTCTATAATGACACCATTATTATGGGCTCTGTTCAGCACACAATCCTTTGCAGGCTCAATAAAATTGCCATAGAGCATCTTGTCTTTCTTCATTTGAAAAACTGATAATTTATAAAAACGGATAACCTATTAAAATTATATGAATTGTAAGTTACTTTCAATATAAACAACAACAGCCAACACAGTACCAGCCAAATTCCGCTTTCTCACTGATCTAAATTAATTCCTTGAAGGTCAGAATAGGAACATCAGGCTGAATAGGTTTGCAAAAGAGAGAAAGAAAGAAAGTGAGAAAGAGAGAAAAGAACTTGCAAGACATCCAAGTTCATTTTCAGTAACCACTGCTGCTGCTATATACTTAATTATATTCTTTTCTTCATTTCTCCCTTTCTTGGCTCCCTATCTACCTAAGAAAAATTTAATGGAGCTAGTGTGTTCATAATCAGCATCTTGACATTTTAGTTGAATTCTAGGCTGTTTTATGTTTGTTCCTTAATACAGCCTCTCTGAACATTTCCAGTCAAGCATTGTCTGTAGCTCTTGTATTCGATATTACAAGCAAATGAATTTGCTCATTTACAGTAAAGGAACTGCACAGAAAAGTATTCAAGAGTCACAAAAAAAAAAAAAAAAGTCAATATCCAAGTACATTGCTTCCAAGAAGGAAAGAAGGTTGTTTTTTGTTGTTTGTTTTTGGGTTTTTTTTTTTTTGCTTATTTTCCAAATCAGCTATTAATTTCTGTATTGCCACAGCCTGCAACACTGAAGTACAAGGAGGTCATGAATGGAGATGAGAGTCAAATTCAGACCTCCCGCTGCAGTTGTTGAAGTTGGGTGATGAAATGCCAGCCTGGGTCTGGCTTCTGGGAATGTCGGGGCATTTGGACTCCCCATACTTAATGGGAAGGGACAGGTGCTTCCAACTTCAAAAAAAAAATGCTACAGAGAGCCTTCATGAAATGCCTTCTGCAGGGATTGTAAAGGGAGCCTAAGCACTTCTGCAAATCCACTCTAATTCTGAATTTGGTTTCTTTAAATAGGAGCCTACAGCTATGCAAGGGTCTTGGGTTTCCAACTGCTCGGTTCACTTGAGAGGGTTGGCAACTAAGGACTCAGAGAGTGGCCTTCCCCTCCACCTCCACACGGCAGCCTAGTGCTTAAAACATCATGGGTGAAACAGGAGATACAGGGCTAACAGCTCCTCAGCTGAGCAGGCCCAAATATTTTGGAGGAGAATGTGGAAGTGTTGGATGCAAGTGAACTTCCTGCCTAAGCTGCTGCAATGAGCTGGAAAGAGGCATGAGATTTAAGTAATGGGCCTAAATCACAGCAAGAAAGATTAGTTAGCTATTTGAAAACGCAGTCTAAATGTAAGAAGAGTGAAGCACTTTGGATAGTTTAGTGTATCCTAATCTTGGGCAGAGGTAGGAACTGAAGAACCCCCTGAGGCCTTTTTTTTCATAGCAAGGAGCTCATTGAGATGACCACCAGCTCCCTCATTCTGCTGTGAAGGGCTGGGCTCTGGTTCTGGCTCTCAACGCTGAACACTCACCTCCTTCATGACCCCCTCACACAAAACATGGAAGCTGCTGCTGAAATCCATTCACATACACAGCTCGGAATGAGGTCTACCAGTTGCATCTGCTGCTCCAGGCTACAAAATTTCTTAAGCATTCATGGCAAGCTATGTACAGGCCCCATAAGAACAACTTAGTCCAAAAGGTACTAAATCTAGGTGCCTCTTGCAAGCAGCAGTCTCAAATAATAGGCAATTTGAACCATCTTCTTGGACTCAGGAGCCTATCACACTTTTTTAAGGTCCATAATGGCACAAATACAACTTTAGAACAGTCATATTTGCATCACACAGCTCCACAGAATCCTTTATCTTGTTCTCAAATATATGTATGTAGTAACAATCAGAATACTTGTCCAGCAAATGCAACCAATCCAATTCACTCTTCTAATCAATCAGTTCAAAGTTATTTACAACAAATGCAACAAAATAATTTAAACATAATATTATTTACCCTATTTCAGATAAGTCCTTTTTCCCCCTTTAGTAAAAAAAAAAAAAAAAATGGCATTTAAACAATTGTTTTCTATTGCCACTTTTATAAAATTTTTTTGACTTGGCATTACACTTGAGGCAAATTTCTTTGAAGTTGCTCATTCTCTTCTGTTCTCAGTATATGCAATCAAAGCTAGGAGGAGAATATCATCACCTACAGTCACTACCAATAAAGGGAGAAACATTAAAACAGTTTATTCTAATTCTGTAGCTCCATTTGGTGATCCAGAACTAAGGAATTCAAGAGCAAAAATATCATACAGAATATGCAGGCATCTGTAGCACTAAAGATGGGTCTGCATTGGTATATTGTATTTGAATGAATGAATAAATACAAATATTCTTTGTGGACACATGCACACATGACTAAGTGGACTGGGCCCCTCACGAGCAAGGTAACTTATAGAGTTATTGTAAAATTGGGCAGACATCAATGTAAAAATATCTTGCCATGTACCTGTGCAAGACAGCTTTTGAAAGTAGCTACCTCAGATCAGTACTGCCCTGTGTTACCTTGAACGATGTAAAAAAGTATAGTAGACAAATGAAGGAAAGATCTAGTGATGTTCTTTAAGTCCACTAAAACTTGTTTGAATTACTGTTTGGTACCAATGGACTTTCAGCATGTGGCTTAGATTAGTGATGGGGAAATCTGGATATCCAAATATGACAGTATTATGTTCAAAGCATTGTAACACCAAGCTTAATTCCTTTAAAATACCTGCAGGTAATAAATATGAGACATTACTGAATGAGAGAAAACATGCTGATTGCTTTTGTACTCTTGGAAAATAGCATAGTATTTAAGAATATAGTTCTACAAGTTGATTTAAGATAAGACAAAGATGGCACAAGAAAGCCTTACTTAAGCATCATGATCTCTATAGGGTGCACCTGCCTAAATAATTTTATATTTGTTCCAAAATGTATTCAGTTTTCTTAAGCAATACATTCCCCTTGCACAACATATGAAAATCCACCCAGACTTCTCCAGTACTTCATCTTTGCTTTCTGGGGATTCAAAAATTTGTCCTCTATTTCTGTATTTCCAAAGTGCTTATGGGCAATTTTTATCATGATAGCGAACTCCTCCATCTTCTTGGATAGTCCAAGATGAAGTTTTTGTCAGATATGATTTGTATCCGCAATTAATTTGTCATTGAAATTAATGCAAAGACAATGTCATACCCATCACATAGGTATAGCAGATATAGGCCCGTGTTCCCCTCTGTTTACACACACTTCCATCGCACAAAGCCCTCTGCTTAACTCTGGTTGATTAAAGGACTAGAAACCTGAGTACTGGAAGGAAAGATAAAATTAGAAGTAATGATCCAATTTGTGCTTCTACTTGCACCTTTACAGATCTAGAGTAATTCCACTGACTGGAATGGAATAACTAGAAACCAGATCTGCCCAATGCTTCTGGATTTCTTCCCTGCTAACACAAAGGAATAGAATTACTCATGACCTTCTCAAAAAAAATCTCCTTATCCTAGGTGTCTAACTCCATTCACTTGTATAGCTTCAGGCAGCTCTACCTCTTTATGTATTTGTCAAGATGTTTAAAAGCAGTAAAGAAACATAAGCAGAAACAGCTGTCTTATGTCAGTTGGAAGCATAAAACCTGATTAGTTACTATATCCACTGAATTATGGAAGGAGCAAGGGAGCAGTTAAGGAACATACAGATGCTTGAGATATTAATGACATTTTTGCACCAATTTCTCCAAGGAATAAGATGGAGGCAGTACACAAACCCTAGCATTCTCAAAGAACTGTGGAAAGTTGTCTTTGAGGTGAAGTGATGATACAACCGGCACCAGACAACTTAGCTCAATAGAGAACTCCAGATGGCCAAGATGTTTTACCAATATTTACTGTAGAGACCCACAGTGCAAAGACAGGCAGTGTGTTACCTGCACCCAAAGCATCTTTGCAGGCCAGATACTGTAGCAGTTGCAGGCTGTATCACCTAAGGATCTAGCCATCTGAAGAACACTTTTCTTGATCTTTGACTATGTCAGCAGAAAAGCACTGAAGCTTTACAGTAAAACTAGTAACTTTGAGCCTCTTTAGACTAGAAGAGAACTGCAAACATATTAACCCTTGCATTCAAAGATACTGCAGTTGCAGCAAAAGCAACTGAAGTGAATACTTCTCAACACAGTCTTTAACCCTATCCCCATCAACCCCTTTCTCTCATTGCAAGTTTTTAAATTGTTCTCATTTAGTAAAGCAAATAACTAAATAGCTCCTACCTGGTATAGCTGGTAAGACTCCAGACTGTAAAACTGCTGTTCCCTAAAGAAAACAGAAAATTATATAATGAAAAATCTATTTTCAAGGCACAGAAACTTTACAAAGCACAGAAAAAATAGATAAATCACTTCATCAAAAGGCTTAGTGTTTTAAAAAACAGAGCAGGAGCAGAGCAGCACCTGAAGGTGTGCAGAACATGCATATTTACATTGTAAATCTTTAATTTACCTTAGTACAGGCTACCTAACTTTGCAACAACTGTAGCGAGTACAGCAAAGCTTAGCACTATTTAGTCCTAAATTAAACTGCAAAAGGCACCAAAATTCTCATTCAGAGGCAGATGACACCAAGATGGGCAAGAGGATTAATGCAATCTGCTAGAAATGGTAGGTGCGGCGGGCAGCCCGGAGCCTGCTGAGCCCCCACAACTCACCTCCATAACCCAACACACATATCCCAGGGCTCAGGCTGACTTCAGTCTGCTGACGAACCCCACCTGGGACTGCAGGGTCTTTCTGGAAAAGCTCTGCCCCATCCCACCCACTTTGGGTTGCTCACGTCACGGCGGGACACATCAAACAGTTGAGTTCGGAGCACCAGTGCTAACCCACGTTTTCCAAAGCATGAAATGATAGCTTTTAAGAAACACTCAGGACTCTAGATACACCACTCATCTTCCACTCAATATAAACATTGTAATAACTACCCCCCAAATTTTTCTTTCTTCTTCCAGAAGCCAAAATATATTTACCTAATATTCAGGCAGAAATTCAAACCCTACAGATTCCTGTACAAGACTTTCATAGGGCAAACATACTAAGATGCAAGGGTTATTATATAATGCACACTTTAGCTCAGAACAAGATGGCACTGAACGACGTGATTGATGGAAAAAGAAACATACAGGAAGAATCCTCCCCCAAAGCAAATTAACTTCTGAAACAGCCGGTCATCATGGGTTTGTTTTGTTTTGTTTTCCTGGGAAATAATTTGTCAAATTACTTTCAAGAGTGGGTGCTTATTGATGCAAGAACCAGAGCTAATTTTCTTCATAGTATACTAATACCTTTCAACTCTCATTTGTTTATTACTTCCAAATCTTTTTTTTTTCTGAGTTGCCTTCCACTTTTCAGAAGCTAAAAATGTGAATTTAAGAAAAACAAAGACAGAATTAGCAACTAGGTAAAACCTCAGTTAAGTGAAAGACTCACTAGCTTTGATGGAACTTGTAATGAGCTAGAAAAAGATGAGAAAAGTATAAACTGATTCTGTTTCAAAAAATAAAATATACACTACAAGAGCTTAAATCAAACCAAGTTTTAAAAATGGACAGGATTGAAATGTGCAACACAAAACAACCTTGAACACGGAAAAGAACAGTAGGGACAAGACATTCTTGCTTGATCCTACTGCAGACCTGCCATCTGCAGCCTCAGTACGGTGTGACCCTGTATTAACTGGAACTGGAATGGATGGTATTTGTTTGTGCAGTTACTATGCGCCACCAAAGTTGTTGCTGCTTTCAGTGGGAAGCAATGGGCATCTGCACAGGTAAAGTGCAGAGGACTTCAGAGTCCACTGCAAGGAATATAACATTTATTTAGGAACCATTTCCATTTTTGGCATCTATTGTTTATACCAGTGTTGAAAAATGCTTTCCCCACCATCCTGAACCAGCAAAATTTTACGAAGGGATTGCTAATGTGCAATATATTAAAAAAATGGATTTTACACATGTCTTTAGATATAAAGTGGATTACACTGTCCTGAAAGCAGCGCCTGTTAGTTTAGTTAATGGACTGAAAAGCAGCAGACTGCAATGCTGCTGCTGCTGCTGCAGTGCTCATTCAAGTCTTGCCAGTGATGTCTAATGATACATGTTGTATTTCATATCTCTTGGGAAACTTTTCTGCTTTAAAAATATTTTTCATAACTTGCAGGATGGGGGGGACTGTAGTTTGCAAGGTCAGTCAAAATTTATTTCAGGAGAAAAATAAAACCCTGTATCTTCCTCTATGTTCTTTTCCCTCTAAATCCATTAATCTGCACAGCCTTAGTGTCACTCACAGCATGGCCTCCACGCATGAAACTAGACAACAACCCTGATTTTTTTTTCCTCCCATAAATGCATTACATTACGCTTCAGAGTAACCTAAATTATGGTGCAAACATGAAGAGTGATAAGAGGACAGAAAGCAGAAGACCTGAAAGCTCTCTGAGTTTAGAATGGCATTTTGATCATTTCTTTATACATAACCTCCAGGAACAGGGTCTTCTTTCATCATCACACATCTTACAAGCAACAGTAATTTTTAATAACTTTTTTTTCTTTTAAGTTAAGGCAAAGTTATTACTTGCAAAATAGCATTGGCCTACTTACTAAATAGCTCAGTTCACCATGATGTAAATTCAAATTAGAGCTACTTGCTTTACTTGCAAATTAAGGTTTGCTATTTTTCCCTCCTCTTAGGATTGCACAAGCATAGCACTTTTGCAAGAAAAAGCAAGATTAAAAAGCCATCAATAGCAAACTGCTAACAATATTTCAGTTGCAGAAACTTATGGGGAATGGGGGAGACGTGCTGCCGTGCTGCTTAATATGAGCTAAAATCAATCAGAGAGGCGTTTCAACCTCTGAATGTGACAGCAGAGCTTAAACCATCATTATCCTTCTATACTGAGCATCATATTTGATATGGAAATAACTGTGAACTAAAGAGATGACATTTGTTAGCAAATGTACAGTTTGTTCCAAAATGGAGTCTTACTTCTGACTGGAACTCCTAGTCACTCGTACAAAATAAATAGTTTTTCGTGGTAGAAAGAAAAAGAAGAAGAAGAAAAGAAAAAATCTGAGCTTAAGAAAATTGTTAAAGGCTAAAATGATGATATCAAAAATATATACTTCCAAAGTCATTATTGAAAGATTAGATTAGGTATGCAAAAGCAAGCTGAAAGGAGGTGAACAGAAGTTAGATGTGTGAAATTAGGTGAAATTAGATGTAATTAGACTATGGCACACACTGATAAAATACCAGTGAAATTAGAGTGAATGGATGGAAGACATCAAATAACTAGCAGAATGAGATGTGATTAGATAACAAAAAAAAAAACCCCAAAAACAGAAAAAAGAGAGAGAGACAGGGATAATAAAATAAAACAAGTCTTTTGTTATCAGAGGATTTTTTCCAACTATAAAATTGTCTTCACTTCCATTCCGAGATACTATATTCTATTTCACTTCCTGCTCTAGTAAGAGAGAAATTCCACCAATTCCCAGGGGCTACTACTAAGGCAACTCAGTAAAAAGAATGGAATCAAAGACTCACAAGTTACTTTATTTTTTTTTACCCTACATAACTAAGACAAAACATGCTTTTGTCTGTAGGAGAACCTTTTAAAAATATTATGGCATAACATACAAATACATAGTTTTCAGATGCAAAGTATAATATAAAGCTCAAAGTACCATAAAATTAGGCCAAAGAAGAAAATGAGTAACTGATTTTCATCAGGTAACAGTCCTTTGCCTGGCCTGGTATGACATTTGGACAATAACTAGCAACATATTTCTCTCCAATCCCAACACATCCATTCATAAAATAATTTAGGTAAATTCCTAAATTGCTTTTTAATTCCTGAATTACTCCTAAAATCGTTTCTCCTATAGATTCTTTTATCTGTGACCCAAGAGCAGAGTGCTGAAATATGTGATGTATGGATTTACTTCAAACAATCTCCCCGGTAAGCGGATACGCGCCACTTGGATATCACCCACCATGAACTGCATGTCCAGGGCTATTTTAGCTCTGGTAGTGATGTAGCTGCTGTCAGATGACATTCATTTTTGATGTTCTGCTTCCAAACATCCTGGGTAGGGTTCAATGACATATATTAGGAGAATCCACCCAGTTTGATACGCCGGATCATTATTCACAGATTAGCTCTGTTGCCCTAAGCAGCTAAACCGAACCTAAGCGCTGGCATCTACTCCTGTGCCTGCACATAACCATCATGGTACATAAATCATTTCTACAATCAAAGGTTTTTTTTGTCTTGTCAATATTGGTAGTGATTTCTTTGTCTTTTTTTTTCTTTTTATATACATATATATATATATATATATGAGCAGTTTAAATTCCATGAAACATATAACATATGATTTAGGAGATTTGTTTCCAGTTTGAAAAATTACCAGTCACGTATACAGCCATATATATGTGACTGATGTGTAAGTATAAACATAAACATACATACACACACACTCCCTTACCTTTCTCTATAAGCTGAAATGACCTTCACGGGCTACATACTCAATCCTGCTCTACTAGTGGGAGCTTTAGTCTTTGACACCAGATGCAGCCCCAAAGTGCAGCTCTTCCTGTCTAAGCTCTACAACAAAGAGCAAAGAAGACACTTCCACACTATTTCATCCTGTTGGAAGAATTTTTGCCATATTCATACCAGCAGAGGTATCACAGCCGTTTTGTGTGCCCACCTCTGAAGGGTAAAAAGAAGCCAAGAACTTGCAAGTCAGATAGACCGAGCATGTAAAAAAATATATATTTGTTCTTCCTGCAATCTCTCCCAATACTGTCTCTAAGGGTAGAACATGAGAGCTGTCCTAAGTAAAACATATATTTTTCAAAGAAGCAAAACATTTTGTTTCTTATTTTGCAAACATGGCCAATTGCACAAGAGGAAACCACACTTCCAAGAAAAACCGGGTCAGCTGTAGACTGTAACGCTGAGCTGGGCTCCGCCGGAGCTGGCAAGAGGAATGAGATGCCATTTGCCTGATAACTGTCAACGTTTCAGACACACCTCATCAGCCACAGCTTATGTCACTCCCTGTGGGTATCTTTGGAAAGAAAGTTTTCTTTGCCTTGTCCAAGTTTGACAGCTTTTTATAGCTCCATTATTCTGGAGTGGGTTGTAGCCTAGAAGCACAGATTTTAGGCAAACAGTTGATGTGTTTCGTGCCTGCAAGGGGCACTTGTAGTCCTCACAGTCCTACAGCGAGGTCACCAGCAGCGTATCAA